AATCCAAACTTTCCAGCCATACAAATCGACCTTAACTAGGCCAAGATTTAGTTGTTCATAAGCTGTTTTGAATATAATTTGATTGTTCTATGGTTGGAAGAAAAAAGAATGGATGCCATGGCCAGAACATCACAAATGATAGAGCAACACCACTGCCTTAAGGTACAGAGTGTTATTGAGCTCCTACCGTATATGTGTAGCAGGCAGGGACTCCAGCTGCCGTGACAGGAACAGCTCCTTGTGCTTGAGCTGGTGTCTGTCCACCTCTGCCAGGTTGTCAAACTCAGCATCATCCCTCTCTTCCTCCAGTGCAGCTATAAAATAAAATGTTAAGTGTTAAAGCAACTTATGCTGACCGTGTGTAATTCTTCTACTTACTTTTTCCATAAATGTAACAATGTCAACAAATGCTTTACTCATTCTTTTAAGGCATCAGGTATAGACATGCAACCCACAAAGACATAGAAGGTTTATAAAGATCTTAATAAAGTACTAAGGATTTCAATAGTATCATAGCAACACAGATGACTTTTCATTCCGATGTTCAGTCACTTTACAATAATGTAATGAGCACCTTACTGTGCCTGTGCTGTTTGTAGAAAATAGACAAACCTTCTTCTTTCTCCTCTTTTGATAGCAAGGGGTGCAGGAAAGAATGTGTGCAACATGAACCACAGGAAGGTTACACAGTTACAGTGAATATCACGGAAGAAACACAATGACATATTGCACCAACAACAACATATAAGTTATATAACACGTCAGAGTTATACATAAATTATACATTGTATGTACATACACTAAAATATCTGTATCACAAGGATGTGTGACGTGGAACAAATTATCTACTGGACATAACATCATTCACTGACTAAGGATGAAGCTACCTGTATAACTATTGATACAGAGGCATCCATAGCTGTTATACATGTATTTCCGACACTGAAGCAAGGAACCTTCTCATGTGACTTGTTTTAAATATCAAATAGAACAGTCACAAAGTGAAACTATGTGTGTAAGCCATAACTCTACGATGGATTTTGCTTAGATCAGAACCAGGAAGAATTATATAATCTAGGTGGTTTTGAAAATATCAAGTATTTTTTCCTCCAATATCCAAACTATCAATCCTGGTCTGAGCCTTAGACTAGGCTAGAAAGAAATTCTGCAGGCTGAGGGACTCAATTAATTCAGTACCAAACCATGTCCTACTTCTAAGGTTCTATATATCAGGGTTAAGAATTAAGTTCAAGTCACAACATTTTTCATTTACCAGATGGTAACCTTCCAGATGCTTAATAGATTTAAGACTTGTCCCATTTACATTCAACCCCTGGCCACAGCCATCCATCCATCCATAAATATCTACCTTGGCATCTCAGACTGTCTCGGTTACCTTTAAACCAGATGTGGTAAGAGCTATGTTTAACATGGCAAATATATGCTTGTCCCCAACGCTGTCTGATTTCTTGCTTACGTTTGGGTATACCATTACTATTCAAAAGAGCTACTTTCTAGCCTGATGTTCCACGAATAAAATCATTTTTATCCACTGTAAGTCTTAATCAGGTTGAGGTGCACGGTGCCAGAGAATTGGAAATGAGCCAAAAGAACTATCCCATGATGCTGCAGGACCTAGTCTTCCATTGGTTGATTGATAGCAAATGCAAAT